ATAACCTTTATACGTGTATTGATCATTTGTGTTTTATATAATATGTTCCATATTCACATTGTGCTTTTATTATGGTTTCACTATATATTTCAACTTGCTCATTGGGTAAAGGAAAGCTGGCCTTCAATCTTGGAATATGTAAATATCATTATTACCAATATCTTCATATAAAGCCTAAATCCATCATAATATCTATGAGTAGAGTTGTCTAAAAAATAAAAATGTGCTTATGAAATTATTATTTCTTTAATATAAAGGGTAAAATACACAAATGGTTCCACAACTATAGTATATTATTTTATTGAGTCCTTATACTATTAAAAGTTACAAAATGGTCTCTCAACTATAGACAATGATTTTGTTGAGTCCTTTAACTATGAAAAGTTATAAAATTATCACGTGATTATACATTATGTTCCAAACTCGTAATTTTCTATTAAAAAATTCATGACAGTTTGAGTTGAATGTTAACCTGTTGATTGAGATATGATAAAATCTGATCTCATAATTTTAAACGACTATCATAATTCAATCTGCATGTTAACTTTCAGCTCAGACATCGATCACTAATTTTTTAACAGAAAAGAACGAGTTTGGAACATAATGAATAGTTAAGTGACCATTTCGTAACTTTTTATAGTTGGAGACTCAATAAAGCAATATCCTATAATTGATGGATCATTTATATATTTCATCCTAATATATAACTAATATTTTATCTAAAGTAAAAAATATAAGTATGTTCATTATAAGGAATAAAGCAAAATAGTTTTCTAATTTTGTAAAAAGTTCATGCTTAGTATTTCAATTTTGTTTCGATCTCTATATTAATCCATGAAGTTAAAAACTTCTCTCATATTGATATTTGTACGATGTTATACTCTATGATTATGGCCAAAAACATTATCAAATTAAAAATACATAATACTAAAATTAGGCCCCTAACATTTATCATAATATTCATTTTGGCTCCTAGTTGTTAGAGAAATTTAGCTCATAACGTCTCATTTTAAGACAAAAATGTTTCTTAACGTTTGACGAAATAGTCACTTTAACCCTTATTCTTTTATTTCGAAACATTTTGGCACACCAATATTTTATTTTAGGGTAAAAAAATCCATATTTTAAAGTGTTAATCGTTTGTTAACTAATGACTTTCATTCATATAAGAGTCTTTTTGCCCAAACTGAATCGTTGGGAGCCAAAATACTAAAAAAAATATAGCTTAAAACGACCATTTAATAAACGGTGGGGTTATTTTATTTATGATGTCAATTAAAAAATAAAAAACTACTTTAACCCAAATAATAGTGCAAATCCATAATGTGCGTTAGGCCCAAAATGTCTATAATGGGCGGACCAACCCAGGTCAAGTTCGGCCTCAATAAGATCAAATTCTACACCACCTAGCCCATCTATTCTATAGAGTACTATCTGGGTGAGAGTAACTAGTAGGTCCCTCTATTATAGATAACTGTTCAAATTAGTCATCTACTATTAAAGAGGCCAATTTAATCCACGTATTCGTCAAAATGTCAAATTGAAATAGATTTAAAGTTTAATTGTTTGAACCTGACATTTAGTATGTAAGAGTTAATATTTTTAAAACTTTAAAGGTTCTGCAAATGATATTTTAAATGATTATATGTATTAATATTTCAAATTAGTCATCTACTATTAAACAGATTAATTTTTTTTATTATTTGAAAATAATTATATAAATAATTTAACTTATTACCCACATTAAATCAAGCACATTAAAGAAAAAATTATTTATAGTCTTATGGGCTAATCCTAATATCCTTGGGCTTTAAATTTAGAATTCCAAGCCATTCAGTTGGTTTGGATAATTATACAAGTAACATGCAGGTAAGTTACGATTAGACGATAAATTATAATGATAACATTAGATAAATTAAATTAAGGGTAAGCTTTAAGATTAGCAAGGGATTTTGCCCTCATTCACGGACTCAAATTGTCCCCGCTCCTTTTTAAGACAATGATGGGGTGGGCTAACATCATCCAACATTGATCAATATTAATAATACCAAAGAAATTAGTATGCCCAAAGGCTCTTTAGATTCACTTACAATGCTTTAAACCATTCATATTTATGTTCCCCCAAAGAAAGGGTCTTTAACTTTAGCTTAATAGATTCAATTGCGCCGATCGGTCCGTAAAACTACATCAATTGCCTTGTTTCTTTTTTGAAAATGAATTGGAAAATTTTCCATAAAACATAAAATTTTATCTTTAACCCTACCATTTCCTTCTTGGTCCTTGCCCGTTTTGTATAATAAAACTTTTCTTTTCTTTTATCGACAATCAGTTGGTATAGTGAAAAAAGACATTATATTCTTTAAATAATATCATGATTTCTTTTTTATATATTTGAGTAAATACAAGACATTATATGTTCAAAGACTCTCAACCAATTAACAATGAATGCTCGTACCTCTGCGGTGCTCAAACATGTTACTCAGGGAGAATAACAAGTCCCTTAACCACCAATGTCAATTGGTTTGTGAATGAAATAAGGGTAAACTACATAAACAATCACTTAACTTTCACATTTGTACAATTTTACTCACCAAATTAAAAAAAAGTTTTGGTCATTGAGATGTTAAAACTTATTAATTTGATGACATGACACATTAATAAAATGATTTAATTTTTATTTTAACCCCCTAAATTTTAGATAAATTATTAATTATGGGCTATTTTGTAAACCCAAAGGTTGTTAGTTTGATGACATGACACATTTTTGTTAACGTACAACTACAACGTCATCAAACTAATAGACTTTAACGTCTCAGTGACCAAAACTTAATAAAATCATAATGTAAGTGACCAAAACTTATCTTTTTTGAATTTGGTGAGCAAAAGTGTACAAATGTGAAAGGTAAATAATCATTTTTTGTAGTTGACCCATAAATGATGAATAGATCTATGCAAAATTTGATCTGAATTAAATGATGAAGGTAAAAGTGATTAATTAAGAAAAAAATCCTTTGTGATGTGGTGGGAAGCTATGTATTTGGAAATGCTTAAACATTTCACATGTTAGCTCTTTGCTCTAACATGGACTCATGGATTTACAAATGTCAGATGAGGTGATTTCGAATGGTATATTAGCCCTAAAACCCACTAAGCAGAGTCACCTTTCCACTCTCGAAAGCAAGAGAATCAAGCAGGAAGAAAATAGTCGTGACGGTACCCTACAGTCGGTTAAAGCAACAGCAAATAGTGCACGCTTTGCTGTAGTGGGGAAGGAATAATAGTCGCCATTTGCCATTGCCATTGCCATTGCCATTGCGTCTTCAAAGTTTTTTTCTTTTTTAAACTTGCTAGAGAATCTATTAACTAACCCTCTCCCGACGTAAAAGAAAAGGCCTTACAATCAAATATAGTCTACAAAAAACCGAAATCATTGCTGTATTAATAAAGGTTTCTTGTATAAATGTCCAAACTTAAGTTATTCGTATAACAATAAAAGATTTATCGATTTTTATTGATTTATAACATATGAGATATTAGTTTAAAATTATCGGTTGAGATAACGATGATGATGATAAATCAATATACTAGTCACAATTTATCTCTTCTATTGTAAAGGTAAAGCCATTGTCAGATATTCCTAAAACGGGAGTTAAAAGAAGTGGAGAGAAATTTGAAATCTAAATTTTAATATAATAGTTTTTCTTTTAATATGATAGATTTATTATTATTATTAATCCAGAGCAAATATGATACATTATCTGTTCAAACATAATTCTCAATCATTTTGGTGTTCAAGCCCGAGATCTTAAGGAATAATAATGTTAAATTTGAATTTTTTTATTAATCTGGAATAAGTACAAGGAAGCATTTTTAAAAAATAATTCTCAATCATTTGATATTAAACGCTTACATTCTTAGTATTCATGATACTGGAGCTCAAAACATCAAAGAATAACAATAATATATTTACCAATGAAATCGATTGATTCATGTTTAAATTTAAAATTGAAATCATGAAGAATAAATTTCTATATTATGTTGGTCGGCAAAAAACAGTTACTTCACCCGCCCCCCACTACGAACTAATATACTTCCAAATTTGTAATTTTAAAAATTCCCACTTACCACGTTGACGTCACTTTGATTTCAAACTAAAATAAATAAGTTAACGAAAGATAGGATTAACATAATCATTTTTTAAATTATTTTAAAAACAATATTTAAAATATTTTGATTTCTAATTTTCTATAAAATGGTCTTTATCTTTAACTTCAAGTTAAAGGCCTCTTTTACAGCATTGTATTATTATATACTTGAAGCATTTACATTGCTTAAACAGATCTACAATTTGGCCCGACGAATTAGGTTGCAAACCACAATATTTTGTTATGGTCCATCAACAGTGGACGTTCTTTGTGAGCCACTTGCATGTTTTTGTTAATATCAATTTTTAAATTGAAATATTTAATTAATTTTTATTTTTAATATTTTATCCTAAATTCGTTTGCAGTCCGTGCTTGGAGCCAATGTAGACTTATAGTCGAGTGCTTTGGTGGCCTCCAAGCAGTCTCTATTTTAAAAGTAAGATTTTCTTTTAGTATAGTTTTTCTTCGAATGCTGCGGTTTCACACTTACATGCACCACTTCTCATTGTCGCTTTTAACTTACAAATTAGTTGACCATATTCTTATATGTAATGGAGTAAGAGGAGGTAGGATAATAGGTTGTCCTAACATCAGGTTGAGAGCAACTTCCGTGGGAGACTTCCGACAATCAAAATTATTATGAATAAAATTAAATAAAATTAATATGTTAACAATAAATTCTCAAATATATTAATATAATAATAAAATAGAATCATCGAGAGTACCCGCCAATATCAAGCAACAATGGCATTCTTGAAAATACACTAAATAATCACGGGGTAAGAATGTAAATGAAGATATCCACGAGTCTACAAATACCAGTACCATTGTCCTCACCCACTCGTCCCTAAAGCAACCGCTTTCCACACAGAAACACGAATCCCAAAATAACTTATCTTCATCCTCGTAAAAAAAACAATGTTAAAAATAAACATAGACATGAAATCCCTCATTCTTACATTCCTCTTCTTCTATCTCCACTCAATCCCAGCCCTCAGCTCCGCCGGATACGACTCCAGCACCACCGCATCAAATGCCACAGGATTCATCCGTACAAGCTGTTCCGCCACCTTATACCCCGACCTTTGTTACGCTTCCCTCTCCGGCTACGCCAATGCCATCCAACAAGACCCAGCTCGTCTAGCACGTACTGCCATTGGCGTCAGCCTCTCCAGGGCTCTTCACATGGCGGCTTTCGTCTCTAACCTCTCCCGCGAAGCATACTGCGGCGCCGACACACGAGCCAGCTCCGCCTTGCATGACTGCTTCTCCAACATGGGTGACGCAGTGGATGAAATCCGGGGCTCCTTGAACCAAATGCGGAAGCTGGTGGCTCCCGGTTCAGAGTCTTTCAGGTTCCAAATGGGGAATGTCCAGACGTGGATGAGCGCGGCCTTGACGGACGAGGAGACGTGTACGGACGGGTTCGAGGATGTGGGCGACGGGCCGATGAAGGAGGCGGTGTGCGAGAGGGCGGCGAACGTGAAGAAGTTTACGAGCAATGCGTTGGCACTGGCTAATAGCTATGCGGAAAAGGGTACGAATTAGTTGTTTAATACAAGGGGGAAAATGTATAATTTATGTATGATCACAAAGCTTTGTTTAATTTCAACTTTTTTTGTTTCCTTTTTGTACAGTGATTTTAAAGTGTTTTTTGTTTGTAATTTGGAATTTTACGATTTTCTTTTCGATCGTTTCTGATAAAAGGAAATCTGTATGTTTTTGTTTTCGTTTGCTGGAAACTGAGTTTGTGTATTTTTTACATTTTGGCATTGTTATTAACTTATTATAACTTAACAAAATATTTATTTGAGTATATATACATCTTTTCATTGATTAAAAGACGTTTTTATAATTTTAATAGGTATTATATTAAAAGAATTTTATTAAACTTATATTTAATAAAAAATATAATAAATTAGAAGCAACAATTTACTTTTTCTCGGCACCTGAATTTTTATATATCTTAGTCATGATTAAAATTTTAAAAAGGTGCATTGAATTATCTATGCAAGATTTTAAGGACCCACATCAGTACTTTATTATTCGTAAATCACTCTCAGCTAAAGTCTATATTTTTTGTTTTTTTTTTCTAAGGAATGAATTGAGTAAGTATATTTAATCGATTTATTAGATTATTTATATTTATTTTTTAATATCATAAATTTTAGACTTGTTAAAAACACTCATTTATTTTCTGTAACACACATTTTCGTCCGGGTACAATACTCTCAACAACTCTAATTTAGTGGGATTTAAAAAACAAACATAACGTTAGAATTTTACTAGGATTCAAACTCCTAAAAATATGATATAGTTCTACTATGATTCAAACTCCTAAAAATAGGATCCACAAGCGTTATAAATAGTCATTGTAACTCACTATTATAACGGATGATTTACATATAAAATACAGAGGAAAGTACGAAAAAAATACAAAGACAAAGCTATTATAAACGATTCGAAAAAAAAAATAAAAGGTAACATTTTTTTTACCTTGATTTGTTCATTTCTCGCATGTGCATATTTTTTTCCTTTTGATTCGGTCCCTTACATTTACGTTTTAATTATTATTATTTATTTATTTAACTTTATTTATACACATATTTCCCTTATTACTCATTTTATTTAATTGATTTGTTATTTTTTTCATATAATATTTTTTTACATTTTATACATTTTCTTTTTTACTTTAGTATATATTTTTATTTTTTTAGATTACATACATATATATATATATGTTATTTTTTATTATTTGTTTTATTAATTTATATATATATATACTATTTTTTTATGTTTTTATTTATTATATATATATATTATTTTTACTTTTTTATTATTATTTTATTTATTTATTTTATTTATATATTATTTTTCTTTATTTTTTATATATTTTTTATTTATTTTACTTACTATTTTATCTTTGTTTTCTTTATCTTATCTTTTATTTAATTTGTTTTTTCTTCATTTTAATTTTATTTATTTATTTATTTCTTACATTTTTATCTAACATGGTTTTTCTACCTTCTTAAGGGCACACCTTTAAAACTATCTAAGGTAAGTAATTGAGATCGTATTTCTACCTTTTAATTTTAAATTACAATTTTCTTAATTTAAGACAACTAGAAATTACGTAGTACCGAAAGAGCAATTCAATGGTGATAACTCTTCCTTGACTGTAACCGACTCCTGAATCCGACACATCTTTGGAAAGACGCGGATCAGGTAAGAAATAGGGTATCTGATCAACCCATTTGTTTTAAAATAAATGATCGATGGCGACTCCAATTCGTTTAATCCAAGTCGAAGCCCAATTTTTGGCCCAACCGAAAGACGGTTCTGACAGCCTCCGCTGGAGATAGGTAAGTGAGTCATGCTAAGGTAATTTTCAGTTGTCTTTTTAACGAAAATGGCAAGTTTAAATTTTAAGGTATCATTTCGATCCTTATTACTTACTTTTGATTATATTTTCAAGTAAATAGTTATACTAACCGTTTTATAATGATTTCAGCCTTCAAAGCTTGTTTCTTACTTAAGGCTCTAAACCCGAGTTCTAAACCCTATTTAAGTAGGGGTGAAAGTGATGCCTTCGTGTGAATTTATTCACCGCACAGGCCTAGCAAGTAGCCTTCGGGATTCATATACCTTATATCTTCGTGTGAATTTATTCACCGTGCGGGCATAAGGGAATGTTTCCTCTCGAGTTTAACATAGTCCACACAAGCTTGTAATGAGCTTAGGACTAAGGGTCTGGCAAGCCCAAGGGGGCACTAGCAAGGAGAACTCGGGTACCTTTTTAGAACCTAAACCGGGAGATCATAAGGAATTAGAGCCCACCTCGAAACCTCATTCCAAACCCTAGGCTGCTTTGATTTTATTTCCTGCTTTACTTTCTGTTTAAAGCATGCGAACTAGACAAATATGCGGTTAGAATTTGTTTGAAATTAGCATGTGGGATAGAGATCATGTTCGGGTAGGAATAATAAGCACTTGGGGTAGGATTTTTCATTTTTTATTATTGTTTTGATTTACCTCACAAACTCTTTTTATTTTTGTTCTCTTTTATTTTAATTTTCATCATTTGCATCATTAACAAAAAGAGGTGTTGATCCAAAAAAACGTGTTCGTTAAATGTAAATAATTCACATTAATGGACAAAGGGGTTGTAATACAAGAGGTGAAAAATGCAGGAGTCCGACTATGGTCAGAAAAGACTCAGAAAGAAAAGAATGACAATCTGCAAGGCAACTATGTGTCACATTCGATCAAGAAGACGTGGTGCCCACAATCAAGTACATCACAAGTTAACTTTTCAAAAATAGGTTGACAAATGTGGCAGGGGTAAGATGAGAAAAAGGTTACTGACCTCGAGAGTCCATTCAAAGACAACAAGAACAAGATGACAAAACGATAGTTGAATTGGAAGCCATTGTCGACAAATTCAAGAAACAATCGAATGAACTTTAGATAATCCCTTTAATGGATGATTTCAATGGCGTTTCCGTTATAAAACATGTTCAGCAAAGGATGAAAGCTAGAGATGCAATCATTCAATACTTCTGGGAACATGTACAAAAATCAGCTCGTCACTTGCACGATTTGGCCAGAGAAGCCGGAGCGGTTCGGCAGGGTATTTGATCGGTGACAGATGAAGGGATAAGACTAGTCAACTTGTTTCTGGTTTAAAAGATTTAGTCCGTATGTACCTTTAAATATGTTTATTGTCTCTTAAAAGATAAAACACTTATGTCCCAATAAGGATTATTTATAATAATATACATGTTTTCGGATCAATGCCTCAAACATTTCATGCATTTTTGCATTTTGCATCTACATTTCATTTTTAAGTATTTTCATAAACATGAAATTTCTTCATGGAGGATTCGATGGAGTGGTCTTAACCACGTGACACCACATGAAAGCAAGATTTTAACAATTAAAAGAAAATTTGAAATCAGTACAGTGGGAGCCTGATCAGCTGATTATAGGACTAAGCCTGCCAGGATGATATGAGAAAAGAGTCCACATATCCTAAAGGCTACAATATTGAAGTTGTTTGCAGTTACCATATAGGAAGCTTCAGACATTCATCTAAGAACTGTGAGCGTAAGATCCAAAACCTGATGGATTCAGGGGCATGGACAGTCGAAGAAGGGGGCATGACATTTACCATTTGCATTGAGAACATTGTTTTGTTTGAACACGCTTTTGATATTTCATGTTTGTTTAATCATTTAAACGATTGAATTTATGTTACCTTCTAAGGTTGAATAATTGAACAAATTTTAATCTTTAGTTCTTCGAATATTAAATGAATTAAAGATTCTTTTAATTCTTTAAGAATTATAGATTTTTGACATATGGCAAGATTAGACCTTTCTTATCCTGTCTCAAATCCCAAAATAAAATACATTGATTCTTTACCCAAAATAACTCATGGTTATTATCAAAAGACCAGATTTTGACATTATCACCCTTTGAAACTTTTGAACCTTTCTTTGAGTCAATAAAGTCACACCATTTTCTTTTTAGACTCAAAATTGACCTTTTTATACCATTAAAACCCAAGGCATTGAGTTGTTCTTTTAAACATGAGCCTTCTTCTAAGACACAACTTGGGGCATCTCGCAGAGAGCCTGATCATTGAGACATGTCAGGAGCAAGAAGCAGAAAGAAAAATTCATTTGAAATAATTCTAGCATACATTAATTACATTGTTTTCATGTGAACAAAAAATAATCCTGAAAATCTATCCCTCTGGGGATACCTTTTCTGTGAAGACTTCCATGTATGAAATGATAAACAACTTTCTTTCTTCATCCCTTCACAATATGAGAAAATATATATCCCTTGTGTCCCCTTTTGAGCCTATAGTATTTTTCTTCTGATTCAACCCTAACCAATGATCACCCTCCACACTAAGGGGCAAGGTGGAAAAAATCAGTTCACATGAGTGAAGACATCAATCCAAATGAGATACCAAATGCCAAGTGCGAAGATCCAATCAAAACAAAAAAAAAAGAAAAAAACAAAGGAAAAAGCAAAGAGAAAATAAAAAGGAGAAATAAAAACCAAGGAAAAAGTGAAGAAAAAAGAAGACAAGACATATATGCAAAGATTGTCTCGATTCAAATGACGCATCGAGATTCAAATTATGAGATTGATCAAGCATAATCATTCCAGAATCACTTCACTCGAATATCATGGAGCATCCAGAGAAAATCAAGAGAAACACATATGAGCATATTCAAATTTAGCAAGACAAGATTGAAGGCATCCGAATGAATTGATCATCGGTTCAATACTCTGAAACACTTGTTTGTGCCTATTTATTCTTTTCTTTCATAACCATGAACCATGGCGTACATTACGTGCCTTAAAAGTCCCTTCTGATCATACATGGATTTATGAACAGAAGAGACTATCTTCATATTTCATCCCGTCCATCGGGATTAATCTTTATTTGTAAAATGTTTTTTAAAATCTTTAATGCATGATAGAGAAAAATAATAAAGGGGGTTCAAGACATAAATTCTGAATGACGTCCTGAAACCAAAGGAGGA